AATGTCAAAGGTATCGAGATTCGCCGCAAATTTAAATCAAGTTTATAGAATCAGGATTTCACCACATAAGCAATTGAGTTTTACCTCTGGGCATTCAACCCAATTTCCGGTTTAAGTGAGTGTGTATCATTTGAGATTGCTATCCCACACCTTTGGGCATTAGAGATTTAGGTATCTTCAAATGATTCACATTCACGATGTTAAATCTTAATTGCTCGCCTTTGGGCCTAAACAATTCCGATTTAACACAACAAACAAATTCCAGCCCCCTAGAATTACCAAAGGGTTGCTTTGGTTAGGCCCATTTAACAAACAAATTTGCTAAGAAGCAACTAATTCAAATCCAGTTTGTTGACGTGGTCAATATTTACAAAACATTAATTGTAGTGGTCCTAAATGAATTCTTTGAATAATTCACTCGGTTTTGTTAAGAACTGAACCACTCTGTAGTTTGCACTAATAAAGCTACATTCAACCGGTTTGGTTTGACCTAAATCGGCTTAGGTGATTGACCTCATCAACAAGTTGGCAGTTGTTATTACGCAAGAAAAATTGATAATGGGCCTGAAACCCATTATGCTTAGCATAAAGAAAACGCAATTATCAGCCCAACAAATTACAACTTTGGTCTCTCTAGGTCTGCCATTTTAATGGCATGGTAATCCTAAAATTTTTGTTGGTTACAGCATTGATTAACAATATATGGGGTTCAATAAATTATTCCTTTTCCAAATTAAATAAGGAAAACTGAGCATGTGGTGTGATATATATGCGACTCAGTGATCAAGACTGTTAAGCATTTCAGCAGCTTAAAAAAAAAATTCTGATCACATGTTCTCATATATATATCAGCCCACAAGGCAATCAACTATGGATTAAAACATTTCCTATCCATAGCTCATCTATTGTTCGTTATTCACCCATTTACTGGTTAGGTTGTGACTTTTAAACACATGGTTCTGTGACAACCTACAACCGGGTTGTGACCATTACTGGTCAGCAAACAACACTGTAACACAATCGTAATTTTATCATTATCATGCCATCAAACACTCTCCAAAAAACACACACACATACAGCTAGATAATCTATAACTACTGCAGAAGTCCTCTATGTTAATGGTAGGTTTAACCACTACTGGCAACATGGCTTGTTACATCAATAGTGCCATCCAAATTGGCATTGAAAACGACTGAATTAAACAATAAGAAATTAACAGAAATAAAACAAGGATTAAACAGTCCTCATAGATCTAATAAAATGGGCAGAAATACAACCCAAATTCAAGCCATGTTGGAGATAGTCGGTATTACCAAAACCCATTAACATAGGTATACAAATAAATGAATAGATAAAACAATGGCAGCCATTGAATTCAACTCAAGGGGTTCAACCATTACAGAGTTATGGTTCTGGAGAACCAGCTCTGATACCACTGTTAGTCGGTCAAGGTGTTTCCGATTTGAATGTCAGTCCCCATTATGGATGAATAAAACATAATGGACTGAATTAATCTGTAATCTAAAACATACAGATCTGAACCTATATATTCAACTCTGGTAATCACCTTTGATTGACCAACTTAATTAAATAAAAGGAATCAGTTTAGTATATACTTCCAGACGCCATAACCACTGTAGTTGTTGTCCTCATAATTTGATGTGTATTCGTTTCAGCCTTTGACCCTCCAAACAAAGTCCAACTGCCTACACGTTGTCTTCTTACTCAAACCAATGCAGCCATATTCAACAGTAGTCTCTCACCAATGTGATGATCAGTGTTGCGAGTACGGAACTATTCCCTTGAGCCAGAAAAACAATCTCTCTCTATGTTCTATCTATTTCAGTCAATCAGTGCTGAGAGGAAGCACTCTAATGGAGCTTGAAAATAAGATCAGTAGTAAGAGATTTCATACCATATGCCCAGGGAAGAGGGGTCCTCTCTTTTTGTCTTACTAGGCAGCCTTCCTATCAAAGAGCTTTCTTAATCAAGGTTCAAAATATTGTTATCGGCCCGTAACAGCTGATACGTATCGTTTTGAGACCCTTCAATACGCCCCTACAATGGATGTATCGGGGGTCTGACCGGTTCAGGGGATGAGGGGTCCTAGACTGACTCCCTTGAACCAGTTTTGAAAAAAAAAAACAAGTAGCAAAGCGCCTGATACGCCCCTACCGGCGTATCGGGCGTATCAATATTTTGAACCTTGTTCCTAATTTAGGAGATTTTAATTCTCTTAGTTTTCTCCGATTAACAACCCCCATTATTTCCAAATTAATGGGGCATTTCAAATTTGAATTGGATCTTCGAATCCCCTAATTAACGAGCTGTATTAGGAAGATGTTCAAGTCCTAACACCCACCCACATAATGAGCTCTAATTTGGGTGTTTGGATTTGGGCCAATCAACAATCAATCTGGATCGTGGCCACTATGATGGGCCACAATCCGGGTCCTACCCTGATGGGTATTTTCTAACAAAAATCATTTATAAAAATAAAACCAATAATTCTTTAGTTATTCAAATGATTATTTTCTATTTATTTTTACAAAAAAATAAATATTTAAGAATTAAAATTTTGAGATAAAACAACACCCAGTTCATTTTGGTTTGAAAATTTTCATACTACAGCTTTCTTGATTAATCGCCTACACCTAGCTAGAAGAGCTACGAATGTACTGAATCCACAAGGCGCCATGGTTTAATTGAAGCATTCCATATTCCAAACAAGCAAATGCTGCTCTCTCTCTCTCTCTCTCTCTCCTCATGTTGTTTTCAATGAGTGATTCTTCCATTTGCATCTTACATATCTAACACTGCTACTAGCCTATTACGGTTTTCCACATGGCAAAGAGAATCCCTACGAATTTTTACATGGCAAAGAGTCAAAAAACCATTCAATCTAAAAGTTTAAACTGTCAAGTAAAGTCTTTGGATAGGTTTTATTCTCTAACAAAGAAAATCTGCATCATATCTGACCCAGACCAATCCAGTTCGACTTGGGTTCATCAGTTCAACTGTGTCAATATACTTGTATAGATCCAACATCTTACAACTACGTTGCAAGAATGCTTCTGATCACCCTTCTTAACACAAATATATAATCGAGCTTCTTTACAAGACTGACATAGACTTAGCCAAGCCAATCTCCACTACAATGGCTGTCAGTACTTCTCTCTTACACCACTCTTTAACCCTTGAGAATATTGCTAGATTGTTGGTGTCCTCTGATATGTCACTATTATTTACCTTAAAATATCCTTTTGCTATATATCAACAAATTATGCTAATTCCTTCATCACCCCCCATTATTTAGATCATGATTGTGGCTGCCTTAAAGTGATCTCTATGCTACTTGAAAGGCTCTTTACATCATGTCATTGCCTCTATTTCTCTTGACCTACCTGCCTTCTCTGTTGCTGATTGGGTAAAAATAAGATGCGCGCCCAGATGATAGAAGATCGATCTCAATGTGTTTTTATATCTTTCTAGGTCCCAACCTTGTCTCTTAGACGTCTAATTGAGAAGAAATCCACCGTTTTAAGATCTGGGATTTAATTCTTTTCTAAACCCCCCATCTTTCACTTACACCTGCCATTCTCAATAGTCTTGCTGCGACCTACGTACCCAGTATTTGATGCTTACACCAAGCAAATCAAATTGAATTTCATGTTGTAAGGGAGCAAGGGGGGCCTAAATAACTCAAAGTTTGTTTATCACCCCTACGGATCAACCAATTGATATCTTCAGTAAAGGTTTGTTGGGAACCCATTCTCAATCTTTTACGCTCCAAGTTGAACGTTGGCTCTCCACCATCAACTGGGAGATAAAGAGTGAGGCTGTGAAAAATTGCCTTCATAGGGTGTATCAGATTAATCGATATTATTTTCTTTTACTTTTTTTTATTCTTTTCTTCTGAAACCGATTCAGGGGGGCCGGTTTAGGGCTCCTCCACCCCTGAACTGGTCAGACTCCCGATACACCCACTATAAAGGCATATCAGAAGAGTCCCAGAACGATATGTATCAGCCGATACAAGCCGATACATATTGATACTTTGAACCTTGGTGTGGAGAAGTAAGGCAATTCCACAAAGAACGAAGAAATGGAGTTTGGTGAGAGACGAAAAACAAACCCATGCCTTCATACGTGATTGAAGCAATAAATGGAATGGAAGACAACAAAGTATAAGCATGGGAATAGCAACCCCAGACCTCAATTCCTTATCTATTCGAACAATACTAAAAAATTTATGTGCGGATACCTTTTCCTGCGGAGAGAGAAGGCCACGTCATCTTAAGAAAGGCCCTTCCCATCTTAGTATATATAATAAATATGCAGATATATAGATATGTAGATACATACATAGATATGCACATCTATATAAAATTAACATATTTGTTGATAAATTTGGTTTAAATACCATATGTTCATTAAAGATATCTATATTTTTGCCGCTATTAGAATGCCAAAATTGCCCATTTACCTATTTCACAATTTGGAGAAGACTATTATGATCCATTTGATTTGCAATTGGAATCAGAACCACAATGATCTATTCCCATAGTCTGTTTGGTTCAAACAGGAATGGAATGAAAATTAGAATCAGTAGGAATGGGATTTCATTCCCAAGGGGGAAAGAATGGCCATTCAACCAGGAATGGGAATGGAATTCAAACTCCGCTCAACCAAACAGTTGGAATCAAAATAACCCAACCAATTCCGACTCCAGACACTATTCCTGCAAATAAAACAGGGTCTTACATCAATTAATTGTTGGGAATGTGGGCAAAGTGCTGAAAGCTCGTGTTGCAAATAGAAACTGCCACATCAGCAAAATTATATTGTTTCTGCTGATGTGGCAGTTGCTTTTGTTTTCAAAAACAAAATCATGTTGCCCAACACACCTAAAATTGTAAAGATGAACTTACCCTTTTTTCTTCTTTTTGCAAATTTGCGGGAAGTCAAAGACAAAATAAACACTGCATAGGGACAACGACTGTTCAAGATTTGAATTCTATGCTCCAAATAACCATAAGCTGTCATAGACACAACCTTTGTTGTTCCAACAAAAATAAACACTGCACAAGATAAGATATCCAGATGTCATCGGATTTGCTGTCTAAATCCGCACACATAACCCCCTTTTATCCATATAGTTTTCAAAGCATCAAATCTACAAGGTTGTCATTAACATACTTTGCTTGTATACTGATGTAATATTTGCTTAGATCATATGACTGGATATAAAAATTTTAAAAACAAAAATGCAGAAGATGGAGATCTGGTAACTAGCTTGAACTAGTCGCCATGGATGGTATAGCGTTCCCATTTCTTCGTTGGGTCATATATCTGTGAGAAAACAAGTATGATTAGAATGCCAACCTTTTAAAAGAAAATGATGTCATTTATCAAGCGGGGAAAATCTAACCCCAGGTCATGATCACCACAAGGTCCACAACCTTGCAAAGTACAACATTAAAAGCATAAACAGGACTGTCATTGTATGAGACCTAAGGGTGTAAGTGTCCAATTAAGTTTCCCTTTACAAGGTCATGGCTCTGGAATTTATCCTGTTCTTTCAGCAAAGTTCTAACACGAGCATGCAAAAAAGTTCTTTACACATGATATAAAATCTTCACAATTGGGCCGCTTATTAAATGATAGCACAAATACAAATTCAAGAGTCCAAGTAATGATTGCCATCTTCAGTCAAAATCCCAGATCAGCCCAGTCAAATAATAGTGTTTTTTTTGGTTAGTCAGCAATCGCTTTCCCCTTTTACCCTTTTTTCCCCAAAGTGCTGGTTGCGGGACTTGATTCCGTGTCAATGCTGGGACAACCCAGCTAACACGCCAACGAGCAAGCCCTCGATTGGCAATAATAGTTTTCTTTGCATATGATTAGCATATGAACCATATATTTCTATCAGATAGCCAGGAGTGCAGGCTTGTATTGCATGAATGAAGAGGTCACATTGATGTGCATGAATGTGAACAAGCACACCCGCACGTGCGGGGGCGAGGCCACATTGATGTGCATGAATGCGAACAAGCACCCGCACGTGCGGGGGCACACACACACAACATACCTCCCATCTTGAAGCAGGGAAGATGTGCTTGTTCTTCTCATACCAATGCCTCTCGACAACTTTCCCAGCATGGGACTGCAAGAAAACAAAAAAGTGTAAAATTGCAAGCATAAAATGTGACACGCATGCACAATGTGTTGCATTAAATTGTTTTTCAACACATGGCAGCAGGCAGAAAAACATTCAATTGTCTCATTCTCTTCCAATCTGTTCAATCTGAAATTCTTCAACTCGACCCTTTGGCCAAGTGGCAGGAATCGTGTTTAAACAAGCCATTAGGGAGAGAATGAGGCAGTAGAACATGTTCACTCAAACCTGCCATGTGAGAGTGCAAATAAGATTTAACCAACAGTTTTGGGTTAAATACAGAGTTACAATTAAGCTGCTCTACATTTTTTCTCAGGTTATGGTTAAAAGGTTTTAAAGATAAGTAGGGCTAATATTAAAAATACGCAATGGAAACTTAAGACTGCAGTGGGAACAATTAAGACTTCTGCTCAAGAGATGCCCCAAACTGAAACTCCAATGCATTATATTTCAGTAAGAGATCGAATAAAGATAAAAATTTCCCACTATATCACAGCAGGAAAGATGAAAACTGCATCTATGAAGGTTAGCTCTTCTTGTATGTCTTGCTCCCAGGCCAACTTCTGTCGTTATCTTGTGCAAACAAGTGATTTGAGGAACATGAATTGGCTAATGTATTAAGCCTATCATCATTGGAATTGGTCTTTAATTCATTATAATTGTCCATTCATCTTTGGGTCAATGTCATTCTGCAACAGTTGGCACCAAGGGTACCTATGTCATTTCCATTGTGTAATGTAATCAGGGGCTTATTGGCCATTTGACCCTATCAATTTTAACACTAATAATTTGGTATGGGATCCAAGATTGATTCACACCAGTTATTTTCACTCTTTTCTTCCTCTCCTTTTCTTTCTCTATTTTCTCTTTCAATATGAAGGGCCTACAGCAAGTACTATAGCACAGTGGTCCCTCTCCAGAGAGTACATAGTACAGCCCCATCAGGGATCTAGCCTCTTCCATCAGCCCCAACCCATTTCTCCTTAGACTTTCAGAGTCGACCACGGCTGCCACAACCATGCTCCTACAACAAGAATCTCTGGCTCAGGCCCCAATCTTTGAGGAAAATGGCACCACTGAAACCCTCTTGCTTGTTGGTGTTCCTCTCTCAGTGGTTTTCACCACTGACCTCCAACTTGCAAATGTTGCAGTAACATCTGCCTCTTGATCCACCATCACCACATTCAGAGCTTCAAGACTTGATCTTGCTATCATTTCCCTAAAACAATGGCGACAGCAACTCGATTTCCTCTCATGGAATCAAAAATCATCTCCCATAATTTCCAGTCCCGGATCCAGCCCCCTTGCCCACTTTTGAAGGTCCTCTTCCAGATCGAGCACCAGATACCAAGAGAAGATTGAACTGATAACATCAGACTTAACTCTGATTGAGAAAAATGGAATAGCAAAGACCAACAGTGACCTTTCCTTGGTTCAAATCACTGTTGCTAATCAGATTGGAATTTCATCACAAGAGCTATTGTTGTAGCCAACGACCACCCAATTGTGCCTTCAACCATCACTTGGCACCTAAAGACCTGATTATGTCAATTATCATGACCTGATGAGGAATCAGCACAACAAACAATACTTGCCAACACCCATTCTAAACTCTTCAAGTATTGTGTACGGTTTCATAAATGAGGTATAAATTCCTCACAAATGCTCTAGTTAATCTTCCCATTGATAGACGTTTCATCCATGATGAGATCTCCTCCCCTTCAGAAACGAATTAAACTTCATGGACCCTGAACTATGGAACTAGAGGTCAAAGGCAGCTGCACCAACTCGGACAGTCCCTTAAATCCCCCCCCCCTACTTTCAAAAGTAAGACTTTGAGTTACAACATTCTGCCTTGGGTTTCCCTCCTAATGCATTTAAAACAAACTCTTTCAAAAGTCATAAGCATTTCTTTCAAAACAAACTCTTTCAAAAGTCATAAGCATTGCCTTAGGCTGGTCCAAAAGTGACCTTCAAAGACACATTGTTTTCAACTTTCGAGAGCTAAGATAACTTTCATCATTTACCTCTGAATGACTTGTTTTTAAGGTATGTGGAAAATCAACATGGATGAGACAGAATATGGAAAAATGCAGCTTCCACTCAAATACTCTTTTCAATGTGTCTTTTATTTATGCGGAAGCTGTGAGTTTCTTGCCGATCACATATTTGGTACTTCAGCCTCATATTGTCCCTCTCAGCTACCATATTTACTGCTGGTACCATATTTACCTTATTCACCTTTAATAGCATATTCTAGCTCATCGCCATTTATCTTGAATATAGTTTGGGCATATTCACAGCCTACTTCGGATATTTTTCATCTTCAAATATGTTTCAGTTCATACATAGCTTGTTTTGAATAGACTTTCAGCATAGTTACATATTCATCTTACGTACACTTATTTTCAATCATGCTAAGGCCAATAGCAGTCACTTTGAACACAATTTAAGGGGTAATTACAGTTTACTCCCAAGGCTCACATCTATTCTAGTCTTTACTAAAGATTTCTTTTTGCATGATTAGGCTACGCATATGACTAAGTATTGTAGTTCATGCATTCTGACTTCAAGGGTTTTGAATACTACAGACTCTTATCATGGAACTTCAACCCATAAATGATTGGCCAACAACTACCTGAACTAATTACAGAATACTATGAGTTTCTACCCCAACTTTCGTAACATCTTAGCTAGACGAATTGTTCTAACTTTTAGTTTTGAATCTAGCTTTCTGCTCTTCTGGTTTGAGTGCCATAGTGAAGGCCACGAACTCAGGTTTCAGATAACTTTTTTCTTGACTTAATTACAGAATATACCATTTCAGCAGCTTTTTCTTACATCCTGAATTTTCAACATTTCCTTCTCATCATTTCATGAGCATCATCTAGAATATTTAGATACCCTTTTTCAGATACACAGGCCAATGTGAATGACAAAGTTTCTTTATGTGCATATTGTTACTTTCTTACTTTCATAAAACTTACAACTCCACTTTTAATTCAAAGCTTAATTAAGAAAAGAAACAGTTGCACGTTATTTTGTCTTAGAAATAGCCTCTCTGTGTATCTGCATGGGTAAGGCTGCATCAATCTGTCCCTCCCCAGAGCCCACATTGGCGGGAGCCTTGTGCACTAAGCTGCCCTTTCACATTGGGTTTAATTCATCTTTTACATCAGTCACTATCATATTACGGCTCCACCTACTATAGATCATTAAGCACCTTAGCACAATTTCCCAACAGCAAGCTTGTATCTTCTAGTGTAGATTTATCCTTTCCAAGAGACATATTTTCAGCAAACCTTAAGTATATTAGGATTCATTTGTAATATTTTCAAGTAATTCTGAACACATCTTTGGCTATGGCCATGTTTTCCTGCTTTACCAATTTTACCGCCTACTTAGTTGTTGAATTGTAGTTCACCACAACTTGGTTTTAATATTCAATATATGGTTACTCTTTCTATGAACCATGCGCATGCAACCCAGATTCTCTTGCAAACTGCATACAGTTCAAGTATTCTCGCACAAAAGGTAACCTTCCTATTTAAAAGTCAGAACCCCCAGTCTTGATGTGTCAACACACTTCTTGGTTTTCTCATAAACTATCCAGCAAAGTATCTTAAGCAATATTCGGCTGGATACAATAGTAGATAACCTTCGAAGCAGCGTAAGTATAGCTATAGCCATTACGCCTTTTTGTCTAAATAGTACTGCAGTTCACAGTTAAGTATATTTAGATCAAGATCAACAATCCAGAGGATGAGGGCCAATCACAACAGTCCAGAAACCATACTCAGGGACTGCACCAATGACATCCCTCATACAAGCAACAGACCTTCATTATATTCACATTTGATTTACATTGCTACTACATTATCTCTAATGACTAACCTCTTCTCTCCATCATGCTACAGCTCAAAGTGATTTACTTCTCCCATCCTTCAGGTATGTTAACCAACTTTCAGCAGTGGCATGATTTTCACATGATTTTACATGGCTTTTGCACTATTTTCAGGAACGTACTTCATGCACAATCGTGCCAACCATTGCTTTGACATAATTCTTGTACTGCTTTCTTATACATCACCAGGTTCCAGCCAAGGGTGCCTAGTCGCCTAGGCAATGCCTTGACAACTATGCTCCCCATGATGTAACTCTAATATCATAGATAGTGACAGGTGCCATTCAATTCTATCATCACAAGTCCTCTGTTTTGCAGGTAGGACCAAACTGAAGAGTTGATCCTTAAATATTGTCAGGTCCTCATGGGACATTGCCTAGGTTTGTGGTCTTTCCAAATCAAATCGATTGACCACATATTTGCATCTGCCAAAGAAAATAAACCCAACACTTCTCTACAAGATCTCGGCCCATGTAAAGTGTTTTAAGTAGCCAGAGATTAGAATGTGAAAGGCCATTGAAAGGGTAAACAAAAACACAGGTAAGACTCAAAACTTGCCAAGAAAAAACAAAACTTAGAAGTTGATATGATGCTCCAATTAAATTTCATAGAAAGCACAACAAATGTAGCTAAGTTACAAGAACTGTGAACTAATAAAGCAACTGGTCTCATTGTTTTCTTGTAATGTTTTGTGGGTCCACGTTAACCCAAGTTCTACCAAAAACAAAACCACAAAAAGAATCTTAAAAGGAGAAAGGAAAAGAAAAATACCTCATCCTTCTCTATTGTTGCATCAGCAATTGTACGCACATCCTCGTGTACATCAAAATGGAAAAGCTGTGTGAAACAGAAGGGAAAAGAAACATGTATCAAAGAGGATTTTTTCCTTTTCTTTTCTCTTTTTTTTTTCGGGGGGGGGGGGGGGTGTCAGTAACAAAACAGACAAAGAATTTCCTTAATAAACAGAACGAAAATATTTCTTATCAGCAGCATCATTCAGAACTTTTTGTTAATGCAGTGGAAGGAAAAAGAAAGAACACTCGAGGGGCTCGAGGAAGGTCAAAATGAAGGAAACCAGTATACTCCTGCAGGCTACATCCAAAAGTCTTGTATGGACCATTAACAGACCAAAACCAACCCACTACAACTCGCATCATTCCAAAGAAATAATTAAATAAAACTAATTCCTCATACTTGAAGTCCAGAATAAGTCCCTCCCCCCTCCACCCCCTCCCCCCCCAACTAAGTTATCTTGTGTTATCTTCTTCTTGATCTTCTTAGACACTTTGGAGAGAACTTATTTGATGTTCAAAGGTTCAGAACAAGTCCCCCCCCTCTCCTTCTATCTTTTGTTTTCATCTTCTTGATCTTCTTATATACTTAGGAGAGAACTTATTTGAAGTTCAAGGATTCAGAAAGTCCCTCCCTCCCTCTCCCTCTAAATTATCAACTTAATTATCTTGTGTTTTCTTCTTCTTGGTCTTCTTATATACATTGAGAGAACTTATTTCATATTCAAGGGTTCAGAAGTGCCATTCTCTTCTTCCCTTTCCTTCTACTTCTTCTTTTCTTCTTTTCTTCTTCATGGCAGAAATATTTTCCCTTTTCTCTTTCTTGTTTATTCTGTTTTAACCTAATAAATCACATGGTATCACAAGGATTGAACTGATCCTGCTTTGACACCAAACTAAGTTTCACCTATAGTTCCACTCATCAAGGAGGAGAAAAGGACTGAATAGGATTGATCATCCTCTAAGAAAGGAGGTTTCCATACTGTTAGAATGTTGAATGATGTCTCTTTATATGAGTGTTCGGCTGATAAGAGTTCTTATTAGCCCATACTTAAGTTCAAGCTATCCTGTAACTGGGCCTGTGTTAATGGGCCTAAGCCTGTTTAATGTTTTAAGTTACTGGGTGTCCCATCACTAATCTAGGGCATTCCAGTAATTACTTGTATCTTGTACTACATTCAAATATAAATAATAACATGGTCAACTGGCTAGATCAGTTCGACATTCCAGCATCTCTTCTTCTTCTTCTCCTTTTTGCTACTTCGGCTATAATAGTTTAGTTTTCATGGTAATCAGAGCATTAGCTTCTTCCTGGTTTCAGCCGGCGCACACTCTCTTCTCTTGCTGTCTTTTCATCTTCTCTCTTCCTTTTCTGGGTTGCTGCAG